ATTATAGTCATAATTCTGAGAAAAAAGTCAGAATAAAAAAAAAAAATCAGAATTCTGATAAAGTCATAATTCTGAGAAAAAAGTCAGAATTAAAAAAAAAATCAGAATTCTGATAAAGTCATAATTCTGAGAAAAAAATTCTGAATTCTGAGATTAAAGATTAAAACTTTTTTTCTCATATTATACTGAAATAAAATGTAAAAATCCGTCAACTTTTTCTTTACTCCTCTTCCTTACATTCATGTTGCTGTATGGAGAAAAATAAAATGATAATACTCTCCAAGCCTTTCCCATGCGGGTTCACTCACAGATCCAGAGGTAGTAGAGCCTCTTGCACATGGTGCGCTGATGGTCTGGAATTTCATTGAAGTCCTGGTAAAAACATGGCTTTAGGGGGATGAATCTAGGCAGGGGAGGGAAGTTGTTTTCTAGCCCAGAGAAAAAGAAAAAGAAAATCATCACATGCAGACATTTGTTTTACAGGTACAGCTTTATAGATCTTAATAAACATAAAGTGGGGAAGCTTACCTGCCATGATCACTGGTCAGTGTTTGCCTCCACCTTCCAAACAGGTGCAGAAACTTCAATCGGAGCTGCGTTCAAAACTGAAAACTGAAGAAGAAGTTATATTAATGTGGCTGAGCATTTTGTCTCAGAAGCAGTTGCAGTTTCACTTTTGCATCAAGGGGGGGAGGGTCAGCAAAAATAGCTTTTTTTCCCACACGAACACACTCTGACTATGATGGGCGTGCACGCACACACATACACACACACACACATGAAGGGCATTATGCATGATGGCACACGTGATTAGATCATTTCAACAGTTAAACTAACGCGACGTTCAGACAGCAAGCAGCAGGAGCAGCAACATCATGCGTGCTGCTTCATTTTTGACGCTTTTATAAGTTTAGTTCTGACGCGTGGCTGAAGCATCTTTGCTGCTCTAGCTGCTCGTTGGAAAGGTGGGTCTGATGCGCGGTGGGCGGAGCTAACCTATCCTTTCTTTGCCTGGAACAATGGCAGCTATATTTGCTGTGATCAGCGGGTAAAAAGTAGTTAGAATCTATTTTGAAGGGAGAAAGTCCTCCTGAAAACATGGTCTGTCCAGTCAGTTCATCCAGATTACCATCCTGCCTTCAAAGATTGTTTGTGTTGGAGCCGCTCAGACCCCCACATACCGGCGGTGCGCTGTCACTGGGAATCCCATTCAACAGCAGCGTATAGCCCGCTCGCCTCCCGGTCGCCGGTTCGCTGCAGCGGCATTTTTCATGTACATAATCCGAACTTCAGGCAGCAGGATAATAAAAGTGAACAGGTTTTGCCAGCAGATTTCTGCATTTTAAGTTAATTTAGGCGTTAATAAACAGTTTCAGAGGAGTTATCATAGCGCTCTGTATCAGCAGTGCTGCGTCTGACTCCCTGCCAGCTCCCAGATCAGCTTCTCTGATTGGTTGATGCGGCGCGTCCAGCAGCTAAAGTTAAATTTTTCCAACTCCAGCAGCTGCTTCGTTTGCAGCGCGTTCCACGCGTCAAACGCTCATAATGCGCTGCTCCTTCTGCTCAAAACGCGCTGCGGGACCTTTTGCCGCGCCTTGTCAGCCATTGACTTTCATGTAAACCAGCTGCTCCTGCTGCTTTAGGTGTGAACGTAGCATTACCTAAGAAGAAGTAAGCGAGTAAACCGAGTATTCAAGCCAACAGTATTTGTTGCAGTATTACATGGAAAAGGCTCGTTTAAGCTTTTCAAACAATCTTGAAGGA